ACCAAGTACTTCTCGTGCTGGGTGATAGAGGACCAAGTACTTCTTATGCTGAGGGATAGGACCAAGTACTTCTTGTGCTGGTTGATAGAGGACCAAGTACTTCTCGTGCTGGGTGGCGGAGGGCCAAGTACTTCCCGTGCTGGGTGTCAGAGGACCAAGTACTTCTCGTGCTGGGTGATAGAGGACCAAGTATTTCTCGTGCTGAGTGATAGGACCAAGTACTTCTCGTGCTGGGTGGCGGAGGGCCAAGTACCTCTTGTGCTGGGTGGTGGAGGGCCAGCGTGGGCCTCAGACTCAGGCAGCTGCTGTGTCCTTGCGTGTGAGGCACACGCCAGAGGCCCCGTCGGCCCCGTCCTGTCAGAAGCTAGTCATCTGGCGCTGTCCCCAGGCCGCTGTGAGGATCAGACGTCAGTGTCTGTAGTCACAGCCGCCTAATCTCAGGCGCTCAGGCGCTGCCCGTGGTCGCGGCTCTCGCGTCGTGGCGGAGAGCACTGTTGTCGAACTCGGCACGGTGTGCTCACGCCCGTAACGTCTGGTGGATGTAACTGAACAGCCGTGACCTCTGATTTTCCGGGTCTGTACTTGCTGAGAATCACAGCTAAAACCTGAACCCTTTCTGTTGGGAGCACCTGGTGCTCTTTCCAGAGCTTGCTTTCTGCCGTGTGTTGTCGTGTTGTGCAGGAGTAACGTAGCGTGATGAGCACAGAGCTGTCGGCTCGCAGCCAGCCCCGCCCGTGTGCTCTGCACACACCCCCAGAGCAGGGCCGTGACCGTACGGTCTGTTGAGAACTGCGGTTGGTAGGATCCACATCCCGGGGAGTTAGGAACACCACCAGACTTGCGTCGGGACCGTTCAGGCTCCCACTCCAGCCGACGTCGAACGACTGAGTGTCGCGGCCTTCAGCACCTCTCACGCATGGTCAGAACTGCAAGTTTGTCTGTCTAGACGTACCCAGAATATTTGTATTTGTGTGCACGTTTGTGTAGGTGGGATTTAAAGGCTTCCAGATTGCGGCCGAGAAGCAGAAGGAGAACGTCTCTATTCATTACGGAGGAAGTGAGTACCAGCTGTCCCACGGGTCTGTGGTCATGGCCGCGGTCACCAGCTGCACCAACAACTGCAATCCGTCCGTCATGTTGGCCGCAGGTAGGCTGTCCCTTACGGCCGTCCCTTCCCTTTTCTGAGTGCCTGTGTAGTCTTGTGTCACACCCACCTTGTGTCTTAGGTTATGCGTGGATACTGGTGTCTGTGTTTAATATTGAGACACTTCTCGAGATTTTAATTGGGTCTTAAGGAGCCTCAGTTTATGTTACTGATTTTGTTTTCATTACACAGGAGGTAAATTTTTTTTACTACAGTTTACATGTCTGTTAGTCTTCGGTTGTCAGCTGCTCCTGTTAATCTAGAAGTGTAGTCAGTCAGCGAATCTCTTGATGGTTGAGCACAGCAGTGCACTCGCGTCCACTGAGAGTATACGGAAGTAAGAGGTCATTGGCAGGGGTTGTAAGTGAACGCCTGCAGTTGCGTATGGTAGTATGAAGTCAGGTGTGGTCAGGGTGGAATTGCTGTCGTGATGGCGTCTGACGGGAGTGGTCCGTACTGTGCGTGTACATGATGTTGTTACGTGTCCTTGTTTTCCGCGTGTGTGTGCGATGCCATGACATCGGGCTGTACCTGAATTTACAAGGTAAAGGCTAGTATATCAGTGTAATCTTGTGTGTGTTTTAAATGAAACACTTCAGTAGAGTAAAATGGACAAAATAATGACTGTAAATTTATGCATTTGGACTTCGACCCTTGCACGAATTGGAGATTGACCTGGCCTGCGTCACTGTTCACCGTGCAGGTCTTCTGGCCAAGAAGGCCGTGGACGCCGGTCTGCAGGTTAAGCCATACATAAGAACAAGTTTATCTCCAGGCAGTGGGATGGTGACCCATTACCTCAGTTCCAGTGGCGTGTTACCGTATCTCAGTCAGCTCGGGTAAGTGCGGGTCACTGCTGTTGACGTGGACGTTGGGATTCCGCAGGGAGGGAAGCCCCTGTCAGAGCCTTTCACGTGCAGGGACGAGATGGGAAACGTGGGCTTTGTTGTACTTGTTACCTCTCCCCTCCGTCGCGGTGTGAGGCCCAGCCCTCCACGGTCGTGGACTGGGCAGATTGGAGGAGCAGGGCCGGCGCGGCCTCTAGCGGGCGGATGTAAAGACAGATGCGGCTCAGCGACGGCTCCAGGGGGTGGTGGTTTCTGATCAGGGAGGTCGGTTTTCAGAAAGAGCCAAATGTGACAGGCTGCATCATCAGCGGACCAAGTTGTCTTAATTGACCTTTTGTGAGGTTACTGGGTTTGTCAAGCATGGGTTAAGTTGTCCCCAAACTCCGGAGAAACTAACTTCCCCGTTTCTCATGGACTCAGAAGAAATCATTGGTGCCGGCTGTGTATTTTGGAGCCTGTTATCTTAGAAAAATCAATTCCTTTGCAAGACTGGTAAATTAAGAAAACTTTGTTTGCTTTTAGAAGAGTGGCTGCAAGTAACTTTGAGAGTTATGCCTGTAATTTCTTAGTTATACCGTCGTGGGATTTCTGTCAGGGGCTTTCTCTGGGTTTTTGGCGGGTCGAGAATTAAGAGATGTGCGGGCACTGGCGTTCCCAGCTACCGGGCCCCGTCGGTCCCAGGCCTTGGCTTCACCGTCCCCGCCGGGTTAACCCTGGACGGAAGCTCCATATCCGTGTCTTGAACGGTCGTCTTCAGCCCCAGCAGGCTGTATTTGGGAGCTGTCGTGTGCAGCGTACAGGTTTTGTGTCGGATTTAGGCAACCACATCTCACTCGGGGACGCTCCGTCAGAGTCCCTGCACTCAGTGCAGACAGCATGCCTGACGGTCAGACGGGCAGACTGAGGAGGGTTCGTCCGCGTGTTGGGTGTGTGCGCTCAGGCGGCCCGTCACAGGGGGGCAGTGAGGGCCCCGGCCCCCCTAATGCTTTACCGTCGTCACAGCCGTCCGCTCAGTCACGTGTATTTATCCCAATGCAGATTCGAAATAGTTGGCTATGGCTGTTCAACCTGCGTGGGAAACACAGCACCCTTGTCAGAAGCAGTTCTGAATGCAGTCAAACAGGTGAGGGGTTTTCTTAACCACGTATCGTGGTGTTAAATGGTAGAAAATATATGTTGATGTGTTTCTATTTCTGCGGTCCTCACCTCTTAGGAAGAGCGAATCTTGAAACGAGTAAAAGAATCATTTTTAGATCCTTGAAATAATCCCTTAATGGTGTAGTGAATTAGTTTATGCATAGGATTTGATAGTTCTGTGTCTAATAATTGGTCGTATGCTCTTTGGTTATCTTGCCCTCAGACACAGAATATTTGAGATTGCGTATGTATGATTATCCGAATTTGTACCATCTCTTGAATTGAGTATATATTTATGTGTCTGTTTTTTTTCAGGGTGATTTGGTTACTTGTGGAGTCTTATCTGGAAACAAAAATTTTGAAGGTCGTCTTTGTGACTGTGTTCGTGCCAATTACCTTGCCTCCCCCCCGTTGGTGGTAGCTTACGCCATAGCGGGCACCGTGAACATAGACTTCCAGACGGAGCCTTTAGGTATTGTTCCTCTATTACACAGACATACTGCGCACACTTTTTGCTCCAGAAGTTGTTGTGTTTCTGAAATGCTTCTTAGACCGTCCACTCTTTGAATTACTTCAGGAAATCTTGTCATGCAGTCATTCATGTCTGTATTCATATGAAGAATATAAAGTGTACAAGTGCTTTGTTTTTTAGCTGCTTATGCCTGAGGCAGTCTGGTATTGAGTGGTTTACTTGGTTTCTGGGCTAGGTCTTTGAAAAGATGTGAACACCTTGAGGGAATTACTTTTTTTTTAAGATTTTATTTATCTGGATGGGGGCAGAGAGCAAGCACAAGCAGGGGGAGAGGCAGAGGGAGAAGCAGACTGAGCAGGGAGCCCGATGCAGGGCTCGATCCCAGGAGCCCAGGATCACCACCTGAGCCAAAGGCAGACACTTCACCGACTGAGCCCCCCGGGGGCGCCTGGAGGGAGTTACTTTTTTTTTTTTTTATTCTTTTGTTAATCCCCATACATTACATCATTAGTTTTAGATGTAGTGTTCCATGATTCATTGTTTGTGCATAACACCCAGTGCTCCATGCAGAACGTGCCCCCCTCAATACCCATCACCAGGCTAACCCATCCTCCCACCCCCCTCCCCTCTAGAACCCTCAGTTTGTTTTTCAGAGTCCATCGTCTCTCATGGTTCGTCTACCTCTCTGATTTCCCCCGCTTCATTCTTCCCCTCCCGCTACCTTCTTCTTCTTCTTTTTTTTTTCTTAACATATATTGCATTATTTGTTTCAGAGGTACAGATCTGAGATTCAACAGTCTTGCACAATTCACAGCGCTTACCAGAGCACATACCCTCCCCAGTGTCTATCACCCAGTCACCCCATCCCTCCCACCCCACCCCCCACTCCAGCAACCCTCAGTTTGTTTCCTGAGATTAAGAATTCCTCATATCAGTGAGATCATATGATACATGTCTTTCTCTGTTTGACTTATTTCACTCAACATAATACTGGAGGGAGTTACTTTTATGCTGACTTGGGTGTTACCATGCTCTCTCCAGGCACCGACGCTGCTGGCAAGAACATTTACCTGCAGGACATCTGGCCCAGCCGCGAGGAGGTCCATCAGATGGAGGAAGAGCGTGTCGTACTGTCCATGTTTAAAGCACTGAAAGAGAAAATGGAGGTAAGAGTCTCACTTGTTTAAGTAGTTGAATAAACGGCAGTGTTTATTTAGTGGGTCTTTCTGGATTTAAAAAAAATTAATCAAATTATTTTGAACATGGAGGTTATAATAAGTGATAATCGTTTTGTATTGGGAGTCCTTAATATCTAGGAGAATAGCTTAGAGTTTTAAAACCTATCTTAGGGCGCCTGGGTGGCTCAGTCAGTTAAGCGTCTGCCTTCAGCTCAGGTCATGATCCCGGGGTCCTGGGATCGAGCCCCGCGTCGGGCTCCCTGCTCAGCGGGGAGTCTGCTTCTCCCTCTCCCTCTGCCCCTCCTCCAGCTGTGCTCTCTCGCTCACTCGCTCCCTCGAATAAATAAAATCTTTAGGGGAAAAACACGGTCTTACTTACTTATTAGAAATGGGTAGCAAGCATCCTGAATATGGGCAGAATTCATAGAAACGGCCCTTGTTTATTGTTCCCATTAGATGATGGCTCAATGTTCAGAAGAAGTAAGAGCAAGCATGGAGTCTCCCTCCTGCCCCCTGGCTGCCTGCATTGCCTCCTCAGGGGCCGTCAGGCACGTCACTTGCTCACGCATCTTTCCAGAGAGGTTTTGTGCACCTACAAGCAATACACATATTCACACTTTTTAAAAACAGAACTGAGAATGTAGATAATGAGGTTGCAGAGGTATTCACTGAACAAATATTTATTGAGCCCCTACTACATGCCAGGCACTCTTCTAGATGTTTTGGAATAGATCCATGAACAAAACACGAAATTCTCACGGGGAGAGGCAGGCAGGGAACTGTAAACAGAACTGTGAGGTAAATCACACAATACGTTAAAAAGCGGTAGGTGGTGTGGAGAGCCGCAGACCAGGGTCAAGAGAGCCAGCTGACCACAGTCTGAGGAGTAGAGTTACGTGAGTGGTCGAAAACAGGACGTGTCTTGAGCACAGTTCTGCAGGAGGTGACCAAGTTTCCGTACATCTGGACCAAGAGCAGGGCTTTCCGGGCAGAGCGAATGCGTGAAGGCCTCACAGAGGGACCCTTGATGAGGGCGCGGGGGTGTCTGGCGCACAGGAAGCGAGGGCCTGGCGGGAACTGGTGTTAGGGAGACGCGGGGACTGAGGTTACAGAGGAGGTTTTAGGCCGTGATTAACGTGGATGGGGTCGTGAAGGAAGTGACGGGAGCCTTCGCGAGGTTGTGCGCAGAGGCTTGCTAACTCGGGAGGACCGCTCTGTGTCCGTGTGGAGAACATGGTGGGGGAGGGCTGGACGGGAAGGACAGAAGCAGGGGCGCCCGGCGCACGCAGTCGGTGGCATGTGGGAGTCTTCATCTCGGTCGTGAGTTCAAGCCCCACGTTCAGTGTGGAGTCTATTTAAAATAAAATTTGAAAAATTAAATTTAAAAAGAAGGACGCACGGAGTGGGGCCGGCGGGTTGGAGCAGTCCCGCATGCGAGGTGGCCGTGCAGAACCACGGCGAGACTTCGTGTGGGGTTTGAGGGGGGACCGTGTGGGGAACACGCACCCTGACAGCAGCAGAGGGTTTTCTCTCAGCCGTGCTCTTGGAGGTGAGCAGCGCATCCCACAGCACGGTTTCTTTAACTACATGGATCGCTCTTTCTAAACCCTTAACCCTTTTATTGGATTCTTTAAAGTTTTTTATGTTCAACTTGTATTAAAACTTAATCTCAGAATATTCGTGAAAATCTAGTGTGCTGGAGTTTGATGAGCAAATGTCCAAAAATGTCATGTTCTAGAATGGCACTGTCTTAGCTTCCTTTCCCAATGAAGAAGGCCTTTTTTTTAGGTCCTTCTAATGTAAGGACTTTTTAATTCCCTTGAACACATTCATAAGCCTCTTTCTTCTGACTCCATTTTATCTTTTCTTTTTGTTCATCAACCGAACTCACATCCACAGATGGGAAATAAGCGTTGGAATTCCCTAGAAGCACCAGATTCTGTGTTGTTTCCGTGGGACTTAAAGTCCACGTACATCAGATGTCCTTCATTTTTTGATAAGCTTGTAAGTATGGTTTCAGTCCTTGATATTTTCAAGGTTGTTATTGAACTAAAAAACCTCATGAGGAGTAAATGCCTTTCACTGTTTCTACCTTTTAGACCAAAGAGCCAGTTGCCCTGCAGCCCATTGAAAATGCGCATGTCCTCCTGTATCTGGGGGACTCGGTCACCACAGACCACATATCGCCCGCGGGGAGCATCGCCAGGAGCAGCGCCGCGGCCAAGTACTTGACAAACAGAGGGTAGGTGCGCGTGTCCCCGTCCTCCCGGCTTCAGTCCTACTGCGCTCCCTGCGCGGTGAGTAGATTTGACCCCTGGAACAGCACGGGTTTGAACCGCCTGGACCCACTTACACTGATTTATTTTGATAAACCCAGTCCAGGACCGTAAGTACAGTTTTTCTTCCTGTGATGCTCTCAGCACTTGGTCTTCTCTGGCTGACTCGGAGGAGTAGAGGAAGTAGTATGTGTGATACAGAATGGGGGTTAAGTTGACTTATGTTCTCGGTGAGGTTTCTGGCCAACAGAAGGGTATTCAGTGTGGGGAGTGAGACGTCCTACCCAGGCTCTCGATGGTGCGCGGGGTTGGCACCCATACCCCGTGTCGTTTGGGGTTCGGGTGTGCAGGCCGCCGGCGCAGGGGACCTGATCTCCGCTGAACCTGACATCGAGTAGCCGGGTACCTGGTGCACCTGCTTGTGCCTGTGACTGCAGAAGTGGAAGTTGCTATTTCACATCGAGCCCTTGGTAGTCTAAATAAACAACTGATTGGAAACAGGATTTTTCTTTTTCTTTTTTTTTTTCCAATAGGACTTTATTGAAAAGTCAGCTTTGACCTTCCAAGTGAACCCTGATGGCTCCTCCTGTCTTTGGAGTGCAGAGTTGAAATGTGTGTTTTGTGGACAGTAAAGCGAGTGTGCGTGAGGCTAGGCTCGATCTGTGCCAATCAAAAGACGAATTTCTGCCCATTGAGCCTGAACTTTTACAAGAATAATAGAAGAGAATTTGTAAACATCATTGATGTGGGAGATAGAACTCTAAGCCTAGAAAGATTTTATCTCATTTCTACGTGATTGATGATGTGGAGTTGCTCTGTTACCAAGACCTGTGTGGACGCCAGAGACGGAGTTAGGACGGCATTTAGATGCCAGGGGTGTTCGGGTGACGACTTCCCATCGCGGTCGCTTCAGTGCCCTGTGGCGTGGTCGCTCGCGTAATGATGCGCCTGGCTCCGCTCACAGTCTCATCGGTGCTGTTGTGGAATTTGTGTTTGAACTTTTTTTCTGGTTAACTAGTCTGGTATGAATTTAGAACACCTTTTGGTAGAAGTTGCTAATAGCAGTTCCGTTTGCTAGAACTTGAAAATGAATCTGTCACACACACGGCTTTTATTTGTGGTGGTGAGAAACAGTCTTTTTGGTCGTGATTTTTATCTTGGTCATAATTGTGACCTAGCATCCACCACAAAAAGTCCCCACGTTTCTCAAGTATGTAACCGCTATATGCATTCTAACATATAAATACAGGTTTCTTAGTTCTCATCAGTCAGGATTTTTTTGGGGTCCTTTAAACTCCTCATCACGTCTGTCCTGAAGTAAGAAGCTTAGACATACAAGTTTAGAAAACTTATTGCCTTTATGTAAAAGACCGAATTAGAGACTGATCCGCGTTGCTCGTTGTTGCTTATGCTCCGTTGTTTCTTGTCCCTAAAAGGTCACGCGTGTTGTGACCAGGCAGCAGCGAGCACCCTCTCCCCCCCCGCCCAGGTTACGGTGCTGCCGCCGTAACTCCCACTGGTGAGGTCGCCTCGCGCTGCACCTTCGTGTTCGCACTAACAAATCTAAGGAGGATCCTCGTGTCGCGTGGGGTTTCGGTGAAAGCCAGATGGCACAACGTGAATTTCTGGAAAGGGCTGGATACTCTTCCCTTAATGCTGTTCCAACGTGGGGGAGGTTTCCTGGGGGCTCTGTCCTCAGCGGAGACCCGTACAGACCACTGGTGCTTCCAGATTTGGCTGGTGCTTTAGAGAAGCATAGACGTATGCACTGGAAATAGGTTACCTGCGTTTGCTTCAAAATCACCTACTGGGGGTGATTCTAGAAGAAACGGGCAGTCGGGCATTCACTGTTCTGTGTTCTCCACGTTCGTACGTGCTCAGAATTTTCCATTATAGAAGGTGTTTCTGAGTAAGTTTTATGGTCCAGTAACGTGTGATGGTTTTCCGTCTGAAATGAAACCGGCTTCACGATTTCTTGCAGCCTTACTCCTCGTGAGTTCAACTCCTACGGGGCCCGCAGAGGCAACGACGCTGTGATGACGAGAGGCACGTTCGCGAATATCAAGCTGTTTAATAAGTTCCTTGGAAAACCAGCTCCCAAAACAATCCATTTCCCATCAGGCCAGACGGTAAGGATGCACACAGAGCAGTTGGGCGGTCGCGGCCTGGGTCCGGGTTCGTGCTGGAGATGCCTGTGTTTGTCTTCTCCCCACAGCTGGATGTGTCTGAGGCCGCAGAGCTGTACCAGAAGGAAGGGGTCCCGCTGATCATCTTAGCAGGGAAAAAGTACGGTTCTGGGAATTCCAGAGACTGGGCTGCCAAAGGACCGTATCTGCTGGTATCGATAACTTCAATTTTATCTCCTTAGAATTGAGTTTTAAATGCTCCCTTTTGTCGGTAACATCCTGTCAGAGTTTAGTTTGCTCATTTGGATTTTTTTGCTTATTTGGAACTCCTATTGGTAAGATCACATATAATATTTTGTACTGATCTAGTTGCGTTTTAATACTCTGGATTAGATTAGATCTCCATCGGTCTTACTTGCAGAAGTCAGTACGGTGGACGGAAAGGAGGCCCCTGTCTTAAACTGACCCTGTGGAATGCTGATTCTCTGTGCCCACTGAGAGTTTTACTTGGGCCCCCACCCCCCGCCGCCTTTAGCTTTCTCTTTTGGGGTTAACAGACTCAGAGGTGGGCCAAGGGGTAGGAGGTGATGGGGCCTGGCCGCCTGTCGGGAAGGCACGTCTGGCCCCCGCATCCTTGCTGAAGTGTGGTCAGGGGCGGGGGCTGCTGGAGAGGGTCGTCAGGCACGTGCTCTCCTGCTCTCTGCCCGGTGCTCGCTCACAAATGCTCAGAGTGGCCGGTCAGCCGCCCTCCTAGCTGTCGTGATCCTGCACACTCCATTCTCCTCGAGTCCTTCGTCTCCCCACCCCCCCCAGAATGTAAATACTCAGAGGAGCTGTAGGAATAAGCCAGATTCTCCCGTCTTCCTGAGATAATAATTATCCCTGTTGTGAATATTAATTACAGGTACACGTTCCCTTTTTTCTCACATTTTTGTCTTTGTTTTTTATGTTGGGGGCTTTGCTCATACTTGATCCTAAATCAGTTAGACGTTGAAACACTGCTTCCAAGCTGGGGGTGTCGGCTGGGTTTTGTCCGTTGATGGGCCTTATGTAGATGAGTGGACAGTAACCCGCCTGTTGGACTGGGAGAGCCCCACGTGCGGTGTCTTCAAGTACTTCCAGGGACGCAGACCTGCACTTAATGCGCGTTTCCGATGGCGTGCTCCCCCCACCTCCCCGTGCCCAGTGCCCCCTCTTTCCAGGGCATCCATTCCATTCTTGTCAGGCGATGGCACTCACAGGGCTGAGAATTGATTCCTGGGTGGTAACAACATGTCACTCTCTTTGTAAATGGAGTACAGATTAACACATAGTACTTAAACAGATGCACGGTCTGTGTGTGTGGCATTAAAATTTTAGGGCAAGCAGCAGGGGGAAGATATGGTTGGAGGAGAAGGTCCGGGAAAGGTTCTGTAGGAGGACAGTAGGGAAAGTTGAGAATCATGGGTCTGGAGCCTCTCTGGCTTTGTTTTCTCCAGAGAACAGGGTTTTGTTGTTGTTTCGAAATGGACTCAAACTTTAACTGGTGTCACTCTCTACATTCACTTGGTGGTTTCTGTCATTGGGCGTCTGCTCAGGGTCACTTAGCTTCTAAATATTTGTAGAATCCACATCTCCTGTTTCCTCTGTCACTGTGGGACACCCTTCTGTGTTTCTGTGTTCACGTGGCAGGCCGAGGGAGAGTGCTGCCGAGCACATATGTGGGTCGGCCGGGATCACAGACCCTCCTGAGCCCCGTCGGAGCCAGGCCGCCGCCCCCCCAGGGTGCTCTTACCTGACCGGTGCTGCCCACTCAGCCCTGCAGGGCACAGGGGCGGCTAGAAGAAGTTAGGGAGCTACCTGAAAACACACAAAAATCATCTGTACAGCACGGACCTTTAGCGTGTGGTATTAGGTTAACAAGTTTTATAGAAGGAGCCAAAAGTAGAATTTTTTCCCTTGAAAATGGTCCAATAAAGCAACTTTGAAGAGCTGATTGGAAGAAATAAAATGCACATTTGTTACAGGGTGTGAAAGCTGTTTTGGCTGAAAGTTACGAAAAGATTCACAAAGATCATTTGATTGGAATTGGCATAGCTCCACTTCAGTTCCTTCCGGGAGAAAATGCAGATTCCCTGGGCCTCTCCGGCAGAGAAACGTTTTCTTTAGCGTTTCCTGAAGAACTGTCTCCTGGAGTTACATTAACTATAAAGGTACCTCTCCGATTCTCAAGTATGCGATTGCACACTGTTTACCCAGCTAGGTGGAAGCTGGAGAGAAATGATCGTCAGTTGCACAGTAGCATGACTTAGTGAACGTACATTGTGGTTTAAGGTGGCTGTTTCCTGTGACGCCTGACTTAATGCAGCGGAGACTCTGGGGAAACACAGAGCGCTAGCTAGTCCAGAGAACAAGACGACACACGGCTGCCCGCTAGCATGTGCCCGCGGCCTTTGCCTGGCTGCCCGTTGCTGCCGTGCCCGTGGGATTGGAATCCAGCCAGGCACACGGCCGCGGCGGGGGGCAGAGTGGAGCAGGCGCTGGGCGGAGCGCAGGGACGGGGGGCAGACGTTAACGCATGCTGAATGGTTAATACACAGTGGATGTGAGCAGTGGGTGTAACGTCCCTAACTAGTCAGAGTCTGCAGCACTTGGTTTAGCGTTTTAGGTGATACGGGACTTGTCATTCAGAAACGGGGACAAAGGGGCGTTTGGGCGGCTCGGTCGGTGAAGCGTCCGACCCTTGATCTCAGCGCAGGTTCCGTGAGCTCGAGCCCTGCATTGGGCTCTGCCCTGGGTGTGGAGCCTGTAAGAAGTATGGATGAAAATACTCATTTTTCTACTTGGCTCTGAAGCCCGTGGTTAGATATGGCAGGTCTTTTTTCCGGCAGGAGAAGGGTTTTGTGGAGTCTGGCAGGTGGTGTCGTGGGGTATGAGGACAGATGGTCTGAACACTGGGGACACTTGGACGATTTTACCACTCACATGACATGTTTCTGTTTGTTTAAAGACAAACACTGGGAAAGTATTCAGCGCGATTGCTTCGTTTGAAAATGACGTGGAAGTAACGTTGTACAAACATGGAGGATTATTAAACTTTGTGGCACGAAAATTCTCATAGTATCTACTCCACACGGATACCCTTTGAGAACTGGTAACTGCGAGTAACGCCTTTTGTGCTGGATCCAGGGAACCTCGCCCTGGAGCTGCAGACGGTCCCGTGCGCTCACCGATCTCACCATGGGTGTAAATGATTATGAATCAACATAGTGACTGAAATGAAATCTTTCTGATTTTAAATAATCTACGATGGTGCTATTAACATTGCTCGAATCAACGTGTGAGGTGTGCTGTGGGAGAGGCCTGTAAGTATGGGGTATTTTAACAGACCATTTTGTAAATAAAGGCAGAATTTGAACTTGTGTTGAAGATTCTTACATGAATAATCTTCCTGAAGTTGTTTGTTTGGTTTCGCACCCATAAAACTGTATACTACTGTTTGTTGGTTTAAGACTAGCAGGTTGGAATGTAAGAAGCCAGATTAGGCTCTAAAATTGTGGAAGTTGGAATCTCATTTACAAATGGACTTTCAGACCTGAGCTGGACTTGGTTGGCATTCACAGTTTGTAGTATAAGCCGGGGTCATCCTGGTGTCCGTCTGACCGCGGGGGCTCGACGCTGCCCCAGACACAGTCCTCGTGTCCCGTCTGGCCCAGGCCCCTCCACACGCGACCTGGGGCTTGGGTCGCATGACGTCTGAACAGTGAACATACACAGCCCACCGTGTTCGGTAATTTGCTCCTGTGCCCACTGGCCAGCCTCAGATGGTATTCTAGCAATTGGATTCGAGCATTTTGCTCACTTGATGTGATACCATTACTTCCTGTAACCTATTATTTTAGGTATTGTTAACCCAAATTCCACACTTTCGTAGTTGCTAAAGAGAACTTAATCTTAAATGCTAAAATGATTTCCACTAGACTTTTAAATTATCCACCCTAGATTATATGGTTGCTGCTCAATTCTAAGCATTTTTTTAAATGTTAGTTATTTCTTAATTATTTAAAAATTGTTTTTCCGTCATTTTGAGTCCTTATTTTACCTGGGATGCATGATTCTATTCATTATGTTTCTGTTTTAACCAAAGCTATCAGGATAAAACACTTAAATTGTTGCTGTCTGGATATCCTACTTTCTCCACACACACGTCTATTCTGTCAACAAGACGTTTGGCGACTTTTAAGAAAAAGGTTGGATAATTAATTCCAGAAAGTTCTATGCCTTTTTTTAAATTAAGAAATTAAACTTAGCAAAAGGTTAATTGTAGAGATTTTCTTTCACGTGGAGGTCTTCCTCTGACCCAGTTGGTTTGCTGCGGCTCGGTCATCCCACGTCCCGCACAGAAGGAAGGACTGTGTTCTGCTGAATTTTAGCCAAAACTACTAGAGTGGGAGGTGCAGACCGCTGAGAACTTGGCACAGAAGCACTCACACAATCTCAGTCTTCTGAAAATAGTCTGCAAATCTGTGTTCAGACAATCACGTGGACTGGAGTCTGAGAAAATGATTTCCCTTCTTTATTTAAATTTTTCAAAACTGTTTTCTGTGGTACTTTCATGCTGTGTTCTTGATACGTTGTTTCGCCCGTGTATCTGTCCATGCGTGTGTTTAATTTACATGAAAACATGAATTAGGGGGAGTGACGAGTCGAATGTTAACGTCCCTGTTGCATGCTTGGAGGCGGTGTCTTCAGACCGTCTGCGTGGGGACACGTCTGTGTCATCCGTGGCCATGGGCGGAGGCGTGGTTGTGGGCAGGGGTCCAGCGGCCGGGCCAGGAGGCCGGGCTGGTGCCGGTTGGCGCTCTGAGCGGAGCCTTTGCGTTTCCCCTCTGCCTAGTCGGGCACCAGGACAGGCAGACCTCAGACCACACAGCGGAGCAGGGAGCCTGGCGAGCGAGGCCGGCGTCGGAGAGGAGGGTCTGGGTGTGCGCCCTGGTGTGCGCCTACGCTCCTGCCCCTGGCCAAGCGCTCTGTGTGCAGAGGTGACGTCTCATGCTTTCATTGGTTTACCGCCTTTGTTGACTGTGTCTGGGTCATTTGGTGTTTAAAAAGATGCACAATATTGTGGAAAGGAAGAACAGTAGGCACGAGAGAGAAGTAAACGAGTGCTGTGATTCAGAGTACGGCTCCAGAAGCATTCGCAAGAGCAGCACGTTTTTCATCTTGAGAAACGCTGCCACCTGCCGTTGCCATGTTTCCTGCCTTCTGGTGTTGCTGCTCCTGGACAACCAGACTAGAGGGCCTTCTGCCCAGCCGCCGCGTTGCGTTATCACAGCTGAACGTGTCCGAGACGACGGTGGTCGTCGGTTTCTGAACGAGAGGGCATCACAGTCGCCGTGGCCGGACTGCTCGGCGCGTGGCAGGGCATCGCCTTACCGGTTCCACGGGAAGAGTGTGTCCAGCACCGACATCGTCGGCATACAGGGGCCGTGGCGAGCGCGTTCGCCTTCTCGAAGGGGGGGGACAGGAGGAGGGGACACGATTGCACTGATGTTTTTCTGTCGTGTTAGAAGACATCTGTCTTTGCCTTTAGGTTTAGGAGAAGGTGCTCCGATCCTGGATGTTGACTTGGAGGAATAAAGCGGGGAGCAGACAGACTTAGGCTTTTTCCCCTGAGGTGTGATAGTGCTGATGTTTCTATCAATTTTACATCTAATATATGACTATGAACCCATGTATCTCAAGTAACTAGAAATCATTGTCCATTATTTAAAGCCAACAAAACAGTGTAACAGTTTTAAGTTCAATAATGTTAAGTATTGTATAAAAATATATTGGAGGCAAAGTTCAGTTGATGACAGTTGTGTATATGTTATTGATGCTGTAAATTATTTTTAATAAAGAAAATTGTATTATCACATATCTCTTGTTATAAAATATTTTGTGGTGATTGAAAATAAAACACCATAACTTAAATAGGACGGCATCCAGAAATTCCTCTTCAAGGGTGTTTACATAAATGTTGAGAGATTAGTCATTCCTGCTATGACTGCCAGAAAGCCGTGGTCATCCCCGTTCCTCTTGCTAGTCCGGGGCCAATGGGAGTGGAAACCAGGGTGATCGTGGGCCCTTCATCCTGGGAGGGGTAGCCTCGTGGGAACCGTGAGGGAAGTCAAACTCCATGCAAGGCTTGTCCCAACAGGTTCTCAGGTCCGTAGAATCACATTTTACAGTGAAAAGACTGTTCTCTTACCCAAAGCAGGATCCCTGGTACAAATAATAGCCAGCCGGGCAACCTTTCCCTGAACATTCATGAGATGGGGAAGGTCTACTGTGCCGGGTCCCCCTAGGCTGCCTTTGGATGGTTAAATAGACTTTTATCACGCTGAAAATGTAATTTCTACAATCACCTCCTGGTCCTGGTTCCCCCTAATTTGTGTGTCCTAAAGCACTCTGCTGCACCTATACGTTACATACAGATGTAATGAAGGAGCTGGTCCTTCCACAGTTGAACTGCACATAACCTCCGTTCCATGATCTCCGCATGCAGGTAGTTCACGTCAGTGTCTGGGACTGAATTGGTGGTGTGCTATTAGCTGTGTATTACAGGAGGAAATGACTTTTTCTTAAGGAGGCAGGATGGAGATGCTGTGTTTTCATGAGCCTCTTAATGTTGGGATCAGCTGCCTCCTCCCTCCACTGGCCGCTCGTTAGTCTGCCAGAGCTGGGAGCAGGGCGTGCGCCTCCATCCTGGAACAATGGTGTGTAACCTAAAAATATCTGCCCTTTCTACCACTCTTACTAGCAACCTAAGTGAGGAATTAAAGTTTATTAAAATTTGGTATTCATAGGAGCGCCTGGCTGGCTCGGTCGGAAGAGCACGCGACTCGATCGCAGGGTCGTGAGTTCACGTCCCACATTCGGGGTAGAGATTTTGGTATTTATAAACCAAGATTGGTACGTGATTAAGAATTTTCTGAAGATTGCAATTCCATGTTCTGTGAAGTGTGCGTTACAAAGGCTCGTGCCGACACGGGCTGTTAGAATACCGGAGTCCAGGGAAGTGTCATCAGTGTTCACAGCTCTCCCTTGATGCCACTTTGGGATTTTAGTTATAAATTAGGTGAGCTGCAGCCTGTTTGTTTTGATTTGATGTGAGTTGTCTGATACATTTTCCAAAATACCAGTCTGTAAAAAAGCTTGTGTTTAGTATAACTTCAAAACTGCAACATCTCTTACACAAGTAAGTCCCCACAGAATGTGCTTGTATGGTGACGATGTCACTGAGTTTTGAAGCCTTTTAAGCAACCTGCAACATACAGTTAAAGGAGCTTTGATGGACCGGGCTGTTACGTGTTACGGGACATTTTATAAAGTCACGTCTGCAGTCTCACTCTGCAAATGGTTCATTTCGTTTCCCTCCAGGTGTTGAACACTGATCTCTGAGAGCCCCTACTTACCTGTCCCAGGTGGCCAGGTGGGGATTAACAATTGTTAATCCAACAGTGGCAGGATCTTTTTACCAGATTGGTGCTTTTTTCACTAGGATATCCAGTATTGTCATTTTGAGGAAAAACGTGATTTGGCAGCATGTATTACAAGTCTTAGAAATGTTCATTCTCTTGGATTCAGGAATATGACCGAGCAGTGTATCTTTAGGACATTAGAAATGCACGAAAGATTTATGCATGAGGATATTATTAAAGACAAAGAGTTGCGCATTTAAAATGAAAGGCAGGGGCACCTGGCTGGCTCAGCCCTCGAAGCATGGTATTCCCCTGGCGGAGGGTGGCCGTGGATGGAGATGGGGTTGGGGGCTGCAGCCTCCTCACCTGTGCACCCCGCCTCCTTGTTTTCCTGCCCCTCGGGTTGCAGCCCCTCCTGAGTTCGAGCTCCACGCTGGGGGTAGAGATTACTTAAAAAAGAAAAATGAAAGGGCAGGTTATAAAACAGTCTATCTAAAGAAGGCACTGTGGATGGAAAGGGGCCGGTGTGGACCTGGTAGCCCTGCCTCTTCATCTCTCACAGTTTCCAGGTTCAGTCTACACCCCCATCCCCTCATCCCAAGAAGAGCAGAGAGTAGACAGACAGACCCATGGAGGGAAGTCAGGAGCTGTCTGGGGAACAGCAGGCTGCGGGCCTTGAGAGGCCAGTAGGAGTCACATTCCGGTTGTGGGAAATGGGAATCAAAGTTGGTCTGACACCCTGAAGGGATTTCCAGACAGGAAAGCCCCCCGGGCCTCCATCATCCTTGGAGATGAGAGCCGAGCAGAGAAGAACTTCACTGACCTGGGAAGGAAGCCAGGTTGACAGAGGCTTGGGGAACCTCTAGGTGACCAGGCCAGAGGACCCCACGGGACCCCCCCGGGGGGGGATGCTGAACCCGCAGGGGGAGGGGGGTGCTCTACCCGCAGGGGGGGTGCGGTACTCGCACCGGAGGAGGGGGGCACCGACAGAACCACGGAGACCGCACCGCAGGCCACAGCTCCGGCCCGCCGAGAAGTCCTGCCTGGCGCCCCGACCCCCGGGCTCCCCGCCCGGCGGGCACCCCGCCCGGCGGGCACCCCACCCGGCGGTTTCCTGCAGGGGAGGACTCGGCCGCCGGGGCAGGAATTCCGGCCTGACTGCCAGCCCCGCTCTTGGCACTGGGCCCGACCTTGGCCCCGGCCCGGGAAGCCGGGGCCGCCCCGTCGCCCCCGCCCCCATTTGCTGCTCGGCCCGCGGGCCTGGGAGCGAGCGGCCGGTCCGAGCTGGGGCCGGAGCCGAGCCGGAGTTTGGGGGGCCGGGCGCGGCGAAGGGGCGTGTGGACCGCGGCAGGACTCCCGGCGGGGCCCGGCCCAGCCTCCTCGGGTCGCGCTGGCGAAGGCGGCCCCGGGGAACGGGCTCCAGCGGCAGCCGGACGGAAGGCGAGGGGAGAGAGAGCACGACGCCCCGAATCCCGGGGGAAACCGCCCGCAGAGCCGCGGGGGGCGCTGGACCCAACTGCAGATGCCATTCAGGAGCAGAAAGCCGGCCGAGTGGCTGTCCGCCAGGGGGCGGGGCAGGATCTCGAAGAGCCAATCAGAAACACGAGTCCCAATTTCGTAAGAGGTAGCCGGATTCTGAGTGGGTGCCCACCGAGAGAAGGCGGGGCAGGGATGCGGAAAGCCAATCAGATGCCCGATCCCGCCGGGCGGGGCGGGGCGGGGCGGTCCGCGGCCCAGCCTCGCCCCTCCCCCCAGTAGTGTGCGCTGATTGGCGGCGGGGGATCGCGAGGGGCCAATCAGAAGTCGGGGCTCGTGGGCTCCGGCTGGGTCCAGGGCAGGATCCAGGGCTGCTGGAGAGCGGTGTCGCCCTCAGGATCGCGGGTCGCTGCGGGTGAGCCGGCAGGGGAGAGCGGGGACCGCCCCGCCGGCATTGGGGGTGCACCGGGGGGCCCTGTGGTGCGACTCTCCCGCACTGGCGTGGGGACCCTGGCGGAGGGCCGGCCGTGGGTGGGGACGGGGTCCGGGGCTGCAGCCCCTCACTCGTGCGCCCCCGCCTCCGACTCTCCCGTGGGGACGGGGTCCGGGGCTGCAGC